AGAGCATCATTGACCACCCTAAAATCTTTGAACCCAAGACCCCCTGCACATTTAGGAGTAGTAGCCTTTTGCCAAGCTAGCCAGTGCACTCCTTGCTGTTGATCCTTCCCAGATGACCACCAAAAGTTAGCACAAAGTTGTGCTATTTCCTCAATCCCCTGAAGGCATTGACAAATTTCCTGCTTGAGTCCAACAGAGGCATTCCTGCTGAAGAAGACTGAAGATTTGGACATGTTCACTTTTTGCCCATCTTCTCCAGGCGCCTTGTTTGGATTCATAGCAAAGAGAGCAGCCTTTATCTCCTCCTCATCAACAGGGGCTATCAGTCTGGAATTCACTTCCTCAGAAATAACAGGAGATATAAGTTGCAGGATTTCTTCTTCCCCAACGTTTACATTTAATTTGGACCGGAATATATTTTCTTAATTATTTTTTCATACCGAAAACAATATTTCTTTCTTATAAAAATAAATGTATAACTATTTGGCCAAACAAATCTATAGAATCTTTTAATAAACCCAACGTTACATTTAATTTGGACCAGAATATATTTTCTTAATTATTGTTTCCTACCGAAAGCAATATTTCTTTCTTTTAAATAAATGTATAATTATTTGGCGAAACAAATCTGTAGAATAAAAAATATTACCCCATGTCGTTGATTATTTTCCATATTTACCACCATTTGACTATGGATAGTTATACACAATTCACAACCGAACCGACTATACCAAACTTAATAAAATTCCAAAACTATATATATAAATAATCAATGATCTTTACTTATCTTCATCCCTCTAAATTATTAAAACTAACGAAAGAACAAAGAGAAAAATGGGATCGAACCTTCACAAGTTAATCTTGGCCCTAATTTTGCTGACCACGGTTCTCGAAACGACGTCGCAGGATTGCCCCTACCCGTGCTATCCTCCGCCGATCGGCCCCGGCGATAACCCGACCCCGATTACCACGCCTCCGGTCCTCACCACACCGCCGGCCTCTTTCTCGCCGCCGGTCTTCACTGCTCCTCCGGCGGGGTTCAGCCCGCCGTCGCCGGCTTATTTCTTCGGTGGTGCTCCGCCGCCGCCTAATACGATGGTGACGTGGTGGCCGTATTACTCCCGAAATCCGCCGCATCAGGATCAATCTTCGTCGCCGCTTCTTATAGGACCGACAAAAACTGTAGTCTTGGCTGTGTTTTCTCTTCTTGTTTGCTTTTTTGGACTGCAGTAATTTAAATTCGCTTTGAGGTTCTTGTAAATTTACTACGAAGATATTAATTAGTTAATTTTATCTTTAATTGTTCAACTTGGTTATTGTTGTGTCCTTAGTCCTTACTTCTTTTTTTTTCTTTTTTTTTAAATTATGGTAGTAATATATTTTTTACATAAGCATGCCCGTGATTTGACATAAAATTGGTGATAGTTTAGTAACTAATGATTTTAAAAAACTTAATCATACGCCTTACTTTCTTGGATTTTTTTATCAATTTTAATTTTCTTACATAAAGCTAACTAGATTTTTTCAAAAATACGAATTGATCGACCCCCAAAGATCCGGAAAGTCTATGGACGTTTAATTTATCGGCTAAACTTCCAGAAACAGAACAGGCGCTATTGTTCAATTTCCGGAAACAGAATTTTGAAACACGAATAGGCGCTATTGTTGAATTTTTCGGAATGCCTATTTGATCTTTCCTTGAGATGTGCTTCTTCTTTTCTTTATATCAAAATTTAAAGTTTTCAATCAAATCTATATATATATATAATAAGAATTAACATTTACCATAAATAGTAATAAGGAAAAGTCAACTCACATTTATTATATACTATTTTTAGCAATTTTTTTATTTTACATTTTAATTTTAATTCATTATCAAAAAAATTGGATGATTCCTAAATTAATGGGTTTTAGATGACGTATCATATTTCAAAAATTATAAATCATTTAAAATCGGATGGTTTCTAAATTAATGGTTATAAACTTTTCAAAGTTATAATCTTTATGACATCTTTTCTTTTTGACTAATAATAATAAAATCATATTAAATATATATCTTCTAATCCAAAAATTCAATCATGTTATATATATATATATATATATATATATATATAAATTACTATGTATAATTTTTATTAATATGCATAAAATAAAAATAAATAATTCATCTTTAGATATATAATTTATAATCTTAATATACTATCATTTGGTGTAAACATATGAATCATAAATTTTTTTTATTTCATAAAAATAAATATTATATTTAAAGAAAATAATGAAATTACTTTTGTATTAATCGGGTGATTGAATTAGGGTATTGTCCACGTTGATTGAATTACTTTTAGGTGATATTTAAAATAGTCAAAAAATTTGACATAACTTGGTTGGTCCCAGGTAACTAAGTTATGTATCAGTTTGACCAGACCAAATCGATTATTGAACCTAAATATAAATTTTAATATTGAAAATACTTTATTATGTAGTCCAAACTTCAAATAATCATATTAAGAATACTTTTACGACAACGTGATTAATAATTTATGAATATTTATATATCATTTTATTATTATTTATGTGAACAAAATAATTACTTTATTATCATTTTTATTAATGTACGGTAAATATAAGGTTTTCAGAACCAGAACGTCATCGAAACGATCAAGTTATTTTATTAAATCATTTGTGGTTGTTCAGATTTTAATACATAATACTTTAATATATATATATATATAGTACTTTTTGTAATAAATTTAAATAAAGTGTTACTTAAATATCTAAACAATTTATAAATTCAAATGTTTAAACTAATTGATAAACAATTTATAAATCTCTATTTTATTTAAATATGTAATTTTATTTAAAATAATTTTTAATGTAACAAAATTTGTTTAGAAAATCGTATCGATCCTACCAGTCCAACATACTGATGTTGACGGATTCGATAGCATATATTTTATTCAAGCGCAATATATTGGTTATAAACCTGTTCTCGGTCCATCTGGTCGGACTATGTCCAACCCGGTTTAATTTAAAAATAATGGATAAATCATGATTAATGTTATTTATTTAATTAATTTATAATACAATCAAAATATTGTTTTCCCGTGCATTGCACGGGTCACGCACTAGTAAAAGGAATATAAAATGTAATTAACAGACAAAATTCAAAGTATCAAATTAATTAAATTAAATTAAAGTTGATTTTTTTAACGACAGATAATCTTATATAAAGCACCGGACAAGATTCGAATAAATCCACAATGGGAGAACCACACGTAGGTGGCCTAAATAATCTGCCACCACTGATCCAAGAACTTAGCATATAAATGTTCAAATATAACTATGTTTATGTTTTGGTTAGAATAAAATAATGGACTGGTCGAAGGATTTTGAATTTTGGTGTGTTCATAATCGTATTGTTCATTAAGGTTCGTCCATTATTTGCATGTGCCCCGCCTTCCTAGGATATGTATGACTTTTCATTTATACGGTTGGGATTAGATTAGCTGGAGCTATATTGGACAAATCTAACGGGTAAGTTAGTTGATAACTGATAGTTGATAAGTTAATTTCGAACTTATAGGTGATATTATATCTTATGATTGAAAATCTAGCTAATTTGATAAAAATGTTTAATTGAGTTATGTTAGTAAACCAAGCTGATATATAATAAGTTAATTAATAGCTGATAAGGAAATTTCGAGATTGTAGTTGATATCTTATAACATATGATCGAAAAGCGAATTGATATGATAAATGTGTTTGATAAAATGAGATGATAAACCAGCTGAAATAAAATTTTAATGGGTTTATATGAAAAGCTACTCAATAAAACTTATAAGCTCAACTTTTTTAAAAAAAGTTCGTCCTACCAAATCAAGTTTATTTGAATACAAATAACTTATAAGTTAACAAAATAAGCTATAACCTTGCTTATGGTGCTTACCAAGTACATTAGAGTGATTGTGTTATATACAAAACAAATCACATATACTTTTATAGGCAATTGGTATCACAAAGACCTCCGATTGGCTAGAAATGATTGGGATTGGCTAGATCTCGAGCTCGTTCGTCGATTGAACGCCTTCGAACCTGCAGAACTCTCACACCGGATGAGTTTTTTTGTGAAGATCCTCCGAAGTTTAAGTTAACACTTATAGAAGATGAAGTGCAGTAATTGAGTGTATAGAGAGGGTAGTAATGAACGTAACCTTAAAATCGCACATCTCACTCCTATTTATAGGAGTGGTTTACCTGCTTCTATAAGTCTGTCTGGATATGATGAGCTGGTTGCCTAAGCTACCCATACTGCCCCAAACAGTTATGGGGCGTGGACCGATCAGATAGTGCCACGTATCTTGGCCCATGTGCAGTATTAATTATGGCAAGATTCCTTCTTATCTTTTAGTCTTCTTCATTAGACGGTCTAACCGTGCGTCTGACCTCAATTACTTCAAGGTGGAATGTCATCGTTGTCGAGCCCTACTAATCTGGTTGATCCTTTGACCAAGTACTCCTTCAAGTCGAAATCTCACCAGACCCGCTAGGAGCTCCCCTTTGACTTGCTGGTATCCTTCGTATTAAAAATTTAATACTTTTTATTTAATGAATTGGTCATAATCAGACAAACTTGCGAAAACAGTATCATTGCGATCAATATAAAAAATGATATGTATGTTAAATAGTCTATATTTAATTATTTATACATTTTTATTTTTACTATTATCTAACTTATAATTTTAAATATTACATACAAACACATTAAACATATAAAATTATTTGCATCATTGCACGTGCACTAATTACAATGATAACTACCTTTTTTATTCACATCATAACGTACTTTCCACTTGCTGCCACGTGTGAGATCATCCAGTACCCACATATAGCAATTATCAGCCGTTGATGACGAGAAATCCAATGGTCAGTCAACCAATGCAACTGGGGCCTCAATAATTTATCATCAGAAAACAACAAAAGGACCAACAGCGGCACATGATCCATGATACACCTGATTACTATTACTACAAAACGATGTTAGTTCACTCCCCTCCCCATCTTTATTGTTCATTTTTTTCTCACAAGTCTCAATCTTTCTTGAGAATCTAACACCATTTTCCGATTTTAAAGAAGGAAATTATTCTTGTTTTTACATCTTGTTCACGTTGATTAAGAGAATGGAACACTTATAGATCACTTGGATATATATTCTCTGTCCTTGAATGCAGTTGTTAGTATTTTTTTCTTTCTATCTACACCTTTTGATTGGTTTATTTTAGGTGCTTTCTTGCTCTTGCAATATTAAGTGAGGAACATGACGCTTTTCGGCTTATGGGTTTTGATTGTTTGTCATTAGATTTTGGAATTTGTGACTCCTTTAAGACACTGATAACTGTTGCTAAAATGGCGGGTGAAATTCAAGAACTAATCAGGCATGACTTTCAGGTACTTGTTGGATTTCAGATTTGTGATTCATTATGCATTTAGTGAGTTAGATCTGGATTATAAACGTAACTGACTATACATCCTTTTGTTTTCTTTATTCTTCGGTTGTCTATCTTGTTCTCTGTTGGTATCGTTAACAATATTAAGCTTATAAACTAGAGATGGTTATTTTGGTGTATAAGCAGTAAAATCTGTTTAGGATTCACTATTTTCTTGACAGAAGATCATGTTCTGCTTCAGGTTAGGTTTCCTTTTGCTTTTGCTAAACAAAAGCAGAGCTTTTGCTTTAGGTCAATTGCTAGTTTTATATCACATTAAGGTGCTGGCTTTTAATGCTCTGATCCCAAATTTTGATTGTGCTGTTATAATGGGTTGTAATCTTTTGACTAGAGAAATTTTAGTAAAAAAACCGATCCCTTATTTTTTTTAGCCATTGTGAAATCCCTTGTTTGTGTTGTCAGTGAGATTAACCTGGGATTGATCACAAAAAAGAATTCATGTATAGTTTCTATTTGTTACTTGATTCTCATGATTACGAATCTATTTATTTCTGCTAAAGTTTCCTCATTAATGGTTAATGAATAATGATCCATTAGTTCAACTTCAATGTGAAATCCATGTTTCTACAACTCTTAGTTTTGTGCTGGTGTCTCTTTAACATTTTAGCCAGTTTCTTGCACCAAAACTAATTTAGGCAATAAATCTGAACAACATTCAAGGTGAGAGTGTCTTCATTGAAGTACATTATATTAATTAGCAAGATAATAATCTCAGCACTGAATACCTGATAATCAAGTGTCTCTGCCTTCCCGTTAATTGGAGAAGGTTTAGCTTTTCTGCCTTAATTAGGCACTTATCTTGAATTGAACAGGCCCATTCAGGATCTATCTCCTTTGGAAGGTTTGAAATTGAAAGTCTATGTTGGGAGAGAAGGTCATCCTTCTCACACAACAGATATCTCGAAGAGGTCGAAAAATACTCGAAGCCCGGCTCTGTTACAGAGAAAAAAGCCTATTTCGAGGCCCACTTTAAGAAAAAGGGCATTCTGCCTCTGGCTTCACCTAGTGAAACAAAATATCAAACCTGTGAACATAATACCTCACAGAAGAGTTGTTATGATGGTGTGGAAATCAATTCCATGGAATCGGCATATGGGACTATTACTTGTGAGGCTCAATTGGAATCTTCATGTGATGGTACTGAGCTAGCAGACTCTATTTCTGAACATGGGAGTGTAAAAGAATCTCATTGTGCTGAGTTTGAAAGTTATTCAAAGTCTGAACTGAAAGAGAATCTCGATGATAAAGTTTCCAAATCTAATACGAGCCATGTGACAAACGTGACAGTTGGCCCCATTGCTGATGATCATGCAGCTAATGGAAATTGTGATGCCAATGTCAAAATCCGGCAAGCTTCAACTTCTGAGGTTTGTTTTGTTCTTTT